ACTGTATAGACGCAAATCGAACTATCCAGGCGAACTATAGCTACAGTAGAGTAGTGCGATTTCTACTAACCTTAATTCTGGTTCAACAAACATGTGCCCCATTTTGGCGAAACTATACGGACGCAGACGGACCATCCGTACGCTGAACTACGCACGCGAGTTCGTCTGCGTAGACGACGAAGTTTCTGTTGACGGATGATTCGTCTGTTTGCATCGTTCATACACACACAAATTATCAGATGAACTACATCTTTACTTTGGCCAAGTTCGTCCAGACGACCGTATCATCCGTCTCTAGTATGGTTTTCAAGCAGATCCAAACATTTCAGATGCTGTGGACGAACATGATTGATTGATGTGAGCATAAACAATGTTCGTATCTGCGACTCTTCATCCACTAAATGGCCGTACTGTTTGTATTTCACAATCAAACAAACCATGTTTATCTGATTTCCTAGGACATGGAAGGTTCAATGTCAGCAACAGAAGTCTCAACGGCTTTAGGTTTATCAGCGTTAAAGAGTAGAACGTGGTCGATATTTAAAACGTCAGCTTTAAAAGGAGAAGGTTTAGAAGAGGCAATGGAATGGTAAGTTTTCGGTGCATTTACTTTTCTCTTAAAACATTTTCTAAATTATCGGCTGCTCGTGCGGGTATAACCAGTACCGCCTAGACGTTGCGCGGGCCCTTGGCATAACGTTTCAAGGGGCCCTACTACTACGTTCATTAAATTGTCCGACGTATAAAAACAATTTTCTTTATCATAAGATTTTCCCCGAAACCTTGTCGACGGGTCCCTATTTTCAACTGGGGGCCCGGTGCAAAGTGCCCCTGTCCCCCACCACCCTCATTGGTGGGTTGCAGAATTTACTCTCAAAAATGGCCACAAAGCGTACTGTTCTTGTAAGTAATAACATGACTAGGGGGAAATTGACGATTAAATTGCCCGACGCAAATGTTCAAGATTGCTGAATAAAAACTGGCAAAGTGATTGTTCGAATGTGTACGGGACGGTGTCGTCAGACACTGTCCATAGTTGTGCCGATGATTTTCGATGAGGTACAGCTCTCCAATGAGAAGTAATGAGGTACGCTTTTGTCTTCTAAATTTCCCCAGGAAATTTAGTAAAAGACAAAAGATTTCTTTGTCTTCTAATTTTCCCTCATTAAGCATGCATGCAGGGGCGAATTAGAAGACAAAGAAATCTTTTGTTTTCAACTCAACTAAATTTCCCAAGCGTATGCATGCATGGGTGATGAGAGATTACATTCCCTTTCAGAACAATGAAAATCGAGGTGATCATGGTATTACCTTGGTTATACATATTGTAACTTGTTGCGTTATTAATTATACAACCTTGATAGTGCTTTTGTGGGAAAACACGAACTACTTGCTGTTTATCTGCATTTAATTCAGGGTGCGATAATTCGCGTACTTACGTACCAGAGGTACTTCTATCTTTTCAGTCACGTACCACATACGTACGCGGTACTCTTCCCATCTGCTTACTTAACTTTTTGCTTGTACCATTTTACCTTTCCAATAGGGATGTGCCGGATACTGTTTTGCCGGATAGTAGACTACCGGATACCGATCAGGAGAAAATGATGACCAGATACCGGATAATAACCAGATATCCCATACAATAATTTATTAGAAACACAACATATTTATAACTTAATTAACTAGTCCAATGTGGCAATGTTTCATACACATTTTTTGTCTCTTTGACCTATTTGTCTTTACCAAGGCCATATCTTATGATTCACCTTACACTGTTTACTGGTATTTAGTATATAAAATTCACTGCTGTTGGCGAACGAGCAGTTCACATCACCATTACGAAAAAAATATGTCGTAATTTCGTCGTAATGCAGCGCACGCTCAGTAATTGTTCGTGTTTCACAATTTGTAAACGCCAAGTAAACTTTACCGTTTCATGGTTGTAAGAAAATATCTTACAGTACTATCCGGTAAATATCCGGCAAATTTATAACGGATACCGGATAGTGCCGGATGTCTAAATTTTATCGGATACCGGTATCCGGATCCGGCACATCCCTACTTTCCAAGCCCAAGTAATATTCGAAACCATAATCTAGTCGGACGGGAATGATTTGACTTGGCATTAAACATGATTTGAACTGATATGACTAGGGATTGTTAGAGTCGATCGTAGTGTTTGTGTATCTAACTACCAGTTTCAGGTTACTGAATGAATACCTTTCAGAAACCTGTGCACTATGTACTTCATTCTATTTTCTAAAAACTAAATATACCTTGACGGGCTTGAGTCTTAAGTTTGTACTAACTTTAGCCTGCGAACAGGCTCTCAAGCTGAATTGAGAGCCTGCATCGATGACTAATGAATTTGAATATCTGCGTCTCAAATCGTGACGCGAAATTCTCATTGGTCAGATGCTATAATTTATATGTTTCCGCTGAGCTCTATATATGT